AAAGGATAAAATAAAGAATCGAAATGATGAAAGAAAAAAGGGAAAATACCGAGATGGAAGAAGAGCAAGCGGCGTCGAGGCACGAGGAGGACTCTGTACGACCTCAAATTGCTATAAATCGAAACGAGAGAGTTAGAAAAAGAAATATAAGCAAAGACAAAGAGAGATACACAAGTAAAATAGAATTATACCTCGAGGACTGGCGCTGAAGGCTGAAGGCGAGTTTCGACGATGAGTCGATACAGATCCACCGATGGATTATCCTAGAAAATTTATCGAAAATGTAAGTCATGATACAAGTCTTAACAAAATCTAAGACATGAAGGTTAGAGAAAAAGGAAACTCACGTGATCTGGAATGGGTGACGGGCGTTGTTTGACCCGTAGAAGGAACGATGTTCGAATCCATCGACAATGGATCTGCTTGTGGATGGTTGGACTGATCGGGGACTCTTCGATTTTTTCGTAGGGTAGAAATCGAAAAGAGGTATGAGACTCCATTGGGAAACATGTTATAAACGGAAGAATGGATGAGACAAAGAGATCGAAAAGAACCTTCGATTTTTCGAAGATGAAGTGGTGGTGGCCGACTGTTTTCGTTTCCTGGTGAAGGCCGGAGGGTTCGATTCATCGGGGACTCCGGCTTGCGTCCTTTCCTTCCTCTTGTGCCTTCTCGAAGGCAACCACCTTAGTGGATTTTGAAACTGTCAAGGAATGAAGTAGTCAGTTTCCAAAACACAGAATCGAAAATTGAGAGAAAACAATAAAACCTCACCAAAAGGTGATGGAGTCAAAATTTTGACTCGATCAATATGTACTAGCCAAGGAGGCAGGAGAGCTTCAGGGAGGTTAAGGTAAGGAAAGTAAAACAATTTCGATACAGAAATGTCTTTGTTTTTGGGTTTTGGGCGACGGGTTTCTCTAAGGGTTCTCAATTCTCGAACCCATTTGGGATGAGTTAAAGGTTTTGCGAGTCCAAAAGGTGATGTAGGAAAAGTGGGAAGGCGAGCAGGATAATACATTTCGAAAGGGGTTTTTCCTAAGGGATTAATTATTTTGTGGTTCGATCTATTGGTATCTGTTTTTCGGGATAAAGAAATGACAGCATCATAAAAGGTCGATTCTAATTTTAGTGGAGTATAACATATTTGATAAAAATTCTCGAATCGAGATATTTGGAGACAGTGGAAGTGTGTACCTTTCTTCCCTTTCGACTTGTCCTGCAACACAAGAGAAGGACGAGCAGTCAGTTTCTGTCGGACCTCGTCAAAAACAGCACGATTACTCGAAAACCAATTGGTCCACCATTGAGAAAATTCCACAGTCGATAAATAATTCGATTCAAATACATATGGATAAAGATGCATCGAGGTTCTTGGCAAAAATTTGGCAAGCTCTCGGCCGATATTCGACTCAGTCAATTTGGATTTGGGGAAGGTATTTAAAGGGAAAAAGGGTAAAGAGCTGACTCGAGGCCAAGCATGCGGAAAAAAGTTGAGGGTAGTAAGTAACGAACTTGAAATCCCTAGGGTGGAAACCCGATACTAGTACATCATGGGTCAAATAGCCACTCCATATATCGACCAGTTCTAATTGTAATCCAGGGGTTGAGGCGGGAAATCTTGACTTGAACCAGATCGGTCCCCTAAGTTGGTCACTCACTCGCTCAAAATTTACAGTAAACGGGGCTAGGGTGGAATCGAAAACAAATCTGGTTAACAAAAATTGGAGGTATTTACAATATGTGGCTTCGTCAGATTTATAGCGAGGGTGACGGGAGGATAATCGAGCCCCTTCTATATTTACACTCAGGGGGACAGTAGAATATCGAGGAAGAACACTCTCAAAAACGGATGTTAACCATAGCTGTATGAACCAAACAGGGCCAGAAAAATTCCCCGATGCCTTAGGAGTACTTAAGATTTCGACAGCCTCGTCGAAAGCGGTATATACATGTGCTAACAAAAGCTTGGCCAAACATAGGCGGGGTTGACCTAAGTGAAGGAGATACGCAAGGTTGAAGAGATGGGGGGAAATTTGGATCGATCGGGGGCAAAACACATGGGTGCACAGCCAGTACACCAAAAACGCTACATGTTCTTCATCAGTAACATCTATTGAGGGATCATCAACGAAATGTTTCTCAATGAAATGCCCGTAGGCCTTCGATTCCCAATCGATTTTAGACTTCAACAAATTATCCGAGGGACATGCACCCTGAAAGTATCTCTCCCCTATAGGTTTTAACCCAGTGATGGCTGCGACATCGAGAAGAGTAGGTGAGAGGGGGCCGCAAGGTAATTCCAATGCATGTATCTCTTTATTCCATAAATGCACGGCAGCCAGGAACATAGCCATGTCGAGGTAGGATAAGTCACATTGAGACAAGTGTAGAAAATCAAAAATTCCCACGTTCCTCCAATGGTTCCCGAACTTAGCCTTGACCCTATCAAACCATCTAGTGAACAAAGATTTTTTGGAGGGAGGGCCTGTCCTATACACCTTGGAAACAAAATTCAAAAAATCGATCCTAACTTCGGGCTGATGAACGAGAGCAGGGCTGCTTGAGAGGGTGAGGGGAGAAACGGTTCCACTACCAGAAAGAATGGGGCCCCCAAAACCAAAACCTACCCCACCAACATTGTAAGGAACTAATACCTGAGTTTCAGCAATCCTTTTAGAGGCCTCCTCCATCAGAGGCAAGGGAGCAAACTGTTGGTTGTTAATCTCCAGCAAGGTAGAGGTAGATGAGGTAAGAGGAGGAGCCGAGAAATCAGATGACTTGGATGAAGAGGCCATTGTAATAAGATTAGAGAAGTAGTAAGGAAGTTGACAGGTAAAGAAACAGGGACGAGGGCAGGAGCTTAGGGAAGAAGACAAGATTGCAAAAGAGGATAAAAGTTCGCGTAAAAACCAGAACAAAGACCAAGAGAAAGGTTAAAAGAGAAAATCGCCTAGGGAGTTGGAACGACAGATACGAAAAGTAATAAATGTAGCGTACTGTAAAAGCAACAGACTGATATGATGGCGACGTAAAACGGAAAGGAAAACCTAAAACCCTTCTAACCCTAGAACCCCGAAAACCTAAACCCTAAGTTCAGTATGTTTCCAAACATTGAGGCGGGAATATTGAAAGAATATAAAGCTGAAATCATTTATATTCTTCCAAGGGGGCATTTTGTTAGTGGCAAATCGAGGAAAGTGATCGAAATCGAAGGAAAGAGATGTGACTCGATAAGATTCAGTCGACGTCTAATTAGAAATACGTAGCATACAGCATCGAGGAGCACAATCAAGAATCGAATGAATAATAATCAAATGACTGTTGTCGAATAAAAACTAAGTCATATAAGACCAGGGTTAAAAAGGAACTGTAAGCAATTCAAAGTTCTCGAAAAATACAGAATCGAGAGTAAAGAAAGCCAACGTGGACATCGAGACTTTGGCCAAATCGTGAAAGGAAGACGAATGCACGTATAAAGAGCGGTTTTGAAATCATGGGGAAAAAGTCGGAGATCGTGAGAACGTGGGAAACTACAGAAGATAAACTGCCATACGCACGTAGAACGTGGTAGCAGTCGCGTTAACTGCTCTCAGAAAGCTTGAAGGATGCCCTATAAATAGAGCAAAGGAGAAAGGAACGAAGAGCAAAAATTGGCAGAGCACAGAACCAGTAGTGAAAAGTCTACCGGAGAAACGACGAACACCATGAAGCTTACGGCGATCTGGATTTCCCTGCTCACGGAGTACATTTATCGCTTTACGTATTTTCCTTGGTAATTTACTTTGATGCAACTTAAATTCAGCAGTTTTATGTTTACGTATTTCGATTCCTTGTCCATTTCAATTCAATGAAAATTTGAGTTTACGCATTTAGATTTCTGTTATTTAACATTCCGCAAATCTCAATTTCCTGTCATTTACTTTTCTTGCAATCTCGATTTCTTGTCATTTATATTTGTGTTGTTTTCGATTCCTCGCTATTTACAATTAATGCGAGTTTGGGGTTCTCGCATTTTACATTTCCTCGCAATTTAATATTCTGCTTTTCTATTCGATAGTCTAAATGTTTTCGATACTTTAAATAGTAAATACCAAAAGCAGCGTTTTCGATATCCTGGAGTTTTCGATTCTCATACACATTTTCGATTGAAAATCAAATTGCTAGCCTAAGTAAAAAGAGCTTACGTGGTAGAATTTTGATTAGGACCAAAACACCCTTAGAATCAAAATCGATCGAAGTTCCACTGTAAACGATAAATAATAATAATAATAATAATAATAATAATAATAATGTCTAAATTTGATTGTATAGTACCAAAATTGGCGAGTGTATTTTCTTACAATTGTCAAAATATTTTTTTCTATAAATAAATTAATGTAAATGGCTACCAGATTATGAATCATTAATTTCTTAAAAATTGAAAATTTTAAACTTTCATTACAATTAATTTAAACTTTGTGTTTCTATAAGTGATCGTTAATTATGTTAAAACTAAACTCTTGGTTATATTGAATATTGAATATGTTGATAATACATAAATTCCCACAAAATGTTTATCTTAAGTTTTGGGTAACAATATTTTAAAGCTCTCAGAAGAGTCAAGAAGTTGCAGGCATAGTGTGATGCTGATATTGTTAGTGGAGATGGGTTATCATTTTCTTCAAATATAGTTAGTTCTACTATTAATGAAACAAATTTACAACATGCTTGGAATCATAAAAACATTGTTACAATTTCTATACATGAGTTATCTTCGTCCAAGACCGTGTGGATAACCTATTACTTCTCTGCACAGTGAAACTCCAGCTCAAAAAATTGCTACGCTTTGGATGCAAACTAGATTGAAATAGAGAAGAGGCAAAAAGGAGGGGGGAAACCACCTGGAAAATCAAGCATGCTGTAACATACAAACACCTAAGCAATTTACACTTTATCCTGGGCATGAATCCATTGAACATATTTACTGGTTTGGCTCAATTGGATGTTGTTTTCACTAGTCAGAAAGCCACTGAATTGTTTTCTCTACTTTCCCCCGAAACCGAGTGAGGAAATGGAGGACACACTCCATCCTGGAAAAAACAAAAACCAGGCACAAAATTTCATGTTAGCACAAAAAATATGTAAAAATCTCCTCACAAGATCAAGGTAAAATATTAGTACTAGCTCACTTGAATTTAAATAAATTTTCATATACTTGATTCTCGGTTAATTATGAGTTACAAAAGCTCAGCTTTTATGTTGAATAAAAAAGTTATACTTTGTTTTACTGTTAACTTACTTTTATAATGAAAACATGGATCATAAACAGACACTGCATGTAAACTTACCAGTACTACAGAAACTTGTTTGTCACGGGGCATATTTGGAGGGAGGTTACCCAAAGCTGAAATAAGATTATTATCTTCAGCAAGGTCTCTAAGTCTGTTGAGTTCTGGTAGGATAACTTTGCCCAGATCAGGTCTGTCTTTGCGCCTTAATTCAGCACACTGCACTGCCATCTTAGCAAATTTCAAGGCATCCTCTTGTGGCCAATCAGGCACTGATGGATCCAACATCTCATCTAAAGTTCCCTTCTCAATGGCCCTTCCAACATGATGGGTCAAACCCATTGGTGATTTTGCTGTCAAAATTTGCAAAAAGATGATCCCAAGGGAGTATATGTCTGATTTCACGCCCAACATCCCTGTCTGCTGGTACTCAGGATCTATGTAGCAGAAGGTTCCTGCTGTGGCTGTCATGTGATATTGCGTGACTGTGTCTGCCACAGATGGTGGAACTAGCCTGGCCAAACCTACATCACTGATTTTCGCCACAAAGTTTCTGTCAAGCAAGATATTTGCTGGTTTCAAGTCCCTGTGCACCAGTGGTTCTGGTTTTGTCTGGTGCAGGAACAGTAAGCCTGTGCCTATTTCAGCTGCTATCCTGAACCTTAGCTGCCAAGGAAGCGAGGGAGCGTTTCCTTGTCGAAATAGGCAATCGTCCAAGCTTCCATTTGCCATGTATTCATACACTAGACATCCATATTCTGGGCATGCTCCTAGGAGGAGAACCATGTTTGGATGTCGTATGCAGCTCAACACCTCAACCTGTAATGTGCGTTACATGCAACCAATTCAATTAAACATGACATACTAATGTCTTAGCCCTTTCTGGCTAGTATGACTTGATCACCTGGCTACGTGGTATAAGAAATTGCTTTGTTTTCATAATAATAACTAAAATATAGAATTTAGTTAGAATCAGTTAAAAGTTACACTGCCATCCAATCATAAATTGCCTTGTATGGTAACTGTTGAATTTTATAAGAAATGATCTCCAAGTCAAATAGAGGATGATTTTGATTGTTAATTCGTGAAAATTTTTACACTGTAGTGCATTTCAAAGTGATGTCTTGCAAAACAAAAATGAAAATATAGAAGATGACTGTAACCAAGTTAAACCTTGAGAAACCAAAATATGTCATCATTGAGTTGAATTGTGGTATTCAAATGTGGTGTTTTGTTTGTATGCTTACCTCTCGCTGAAATTGTGATCTTCCTTGTTGTGCATCAGGGCGTAGAACCTTTACCGCAACAGGTGTGTGATCCAAATGGCACTTAAAAACTGGACCATATCCCCCTTCTCCAATTTTAAGCGATTCTGAAAAAAAGTTTGTTGCGGCTTCAATCTCCTCAATACTGTACTTTCTATATCTGACATCTACATTTACCAAAGCATCAAGCACTTTTCTTTTCTCTTCTGATTCTCGAAGTGCTTTCATTTCTGCATTGAGTCTCTTCTGTGCTTCCAGTTCTGCAATCCTCTTTTGTGCTTCAGCAGCCTCAATGGCTGCTTTAGACTTGGCTTTCTCCTTTTCTGCAATTGCCAGTGCTGCTTCCTCAGCCAGCCTTGCCTCTTCCAATCTCCTCTCTTCCTCTTGTTTCCACCGCTGAAGTTCCACTGCCTGTCATGCATGTATACCATTTATGACACATTATTGAACTTTTCTAGAGATAAACACAATTATATAATTAAAACGTACTCATCATGTAAAGTTTTTTTACTCTGTCATAGATTTTCAAGTTATAGTAAGAGTGTTGACTTCAGTAATAATTATTTTCAAACTTATATATGAAGTGATTTCTAATTGGTTAATAACGTGAAAATCTTTATGATCAATAAAATTCTATACACAGACCAGATATATATACATCAATCCGTACCTTCTGTTGTGCTGTGAGTGCTTCTTTACAAGCTGTGTTATACATTTCCATGGTCTGCTTCAGCTCCAACTTCAATCTCCTCATTTCAGCCTCCATGTCATCCTACAATAACCGCAACTTCAACAATGTAAATAATCTTCATTTTTTTTGACAAAAAAGTGCCTAAATTATGGAATTCTCTTGAAAACGTTTGCTATAAGAATCTGGTTTTATAAACAATTACAAAGGTGCTACTTACTTTACTTTGTTTCCAATTTCAAAGATTTCTACAATAAAAACAAAAATCCTGTTTATAGTAAACAAGTGAAAACAAGATGAGATTTTTTTAATTACGTAAAAACAAAAGGAAAATGTTTTCTCAAACCGAACAGATCTGTACAGGACTGTCAACTTTCCTTACCGCTACTTGTGATGTAGAAGATGATTGCTTGTCACTCTCAAATGAGAATGATGGGAATTCTGGAGGAGTGCTCATTTCCATAGACATCCTTCCATAAGGAATTGACTCAAAACTGAAGTTTCCATCTATGTCTGAGCTATATGATAGCCGAGGATTTGACATTCCTGTATCTGTGCTTTTCCTTCCAGAGCTTACAAAGGATATGTCCGTATCTGACTTGGGAGTGTTCCCATATTGTCTGCCATTGTAACGTTTCCTAGTGAATGGTGACCTGTTTCAAGTAGCATTTAGTCTTTACATGGTAAAAGAAATGTTATTTAATCATGCAAATAACTAGTAGGTACTTATGAAAAATTTGCTAAGTTGTATGTATCATGCAATGTTACTGACCTGAATGATTCATCATACTGTGATGCAGTATCAAATGACTGCGTTTCTTGTTCTGATAGAAACCAATTTTTTTAGTGAGCAGCATATTGACAATAGGTTTAGACACATAGATGTGTGGTTCTTGAAGGGATGAATCTAACCTTTTGTGCTTTGAGCCGATCGGGCATTTGGGTTTGAAACCTCTGACCTGACACTACCTTGACTGATCAGTTTAGGTATAATGGCCGGCGCTGGACGAGAAGCAGATCGCATTGTTTGAATCTTTCCTTTAGTAATAACATAGACTGTACAGAAATCCGGCGCCCCTTTTGTAATTATTCCTGGAATATCTGATACCTTGAATCGTCTGATGAGAAAAAAATATTCTTTAAGAAATGGAACAGGTATTCATAAGGGCAAGCGACCATAAGTTATGACAAGATAAGTCTTAAGCAATTGGACATATCTGGTGGAACATGACACAGACTAATTAGCATAGGCTTTATGTTTCTAATGATCACATTCCTTAAACCTACATACTATTTCTTGTTTTATCCGAAGAGGACTAGAAACTTGAGATAAAATTTGTAAGATGACAATGTGACATAGAAAGAGAGTAGCATACTTGAGCAAGCTAGTTTTTGTTGAAGAGCCAAGAACCAGATGCTCAATTCCTGTCTGAGAAACATATTCAATTATAGCTCTGGAGATATCTGAATCTTCCAGTAGGACGTCCTTGCATTGTATCTATTGCCCGTCCACCATAAACAAAACCAAAGAGAAGATAAGAATTCTCAGATGAAAACCATCGCCAAAATATTTGTTTTGAAAGGAAAAACAACTCACATCTTTCCGTGTACAGAAGACACGATATGGGAGGAAAATGTTTTTGTTTTGGCTTTCGGTTTCTTTGCCTCCCATTGCACCATCATCACCCAGGAAAGCACTTATCCCTGCCCACGCAACCAACCAAATGAGAAACTAATCCTATAGCCATTTATGCCCATTGCCATGCGTGTGAGTGTGTGAATTTCACATGTTACTATAAAACTTTCATAAATTTATTATAGACAATTTTGGTTTGGTACTTACTAGGGGCGAAAAGAGAAGGTGATGGAGATAGAATAGGTGCGACAAGCTTGACATGGATGAGGATTACAGTTGAACTTCTGACCAGGAGATTGTCAACGGCCCATTTGAGTGCACTTTGGCTCCCTTTTTCTTTATCAATTGCCACTGCTACTAATCCATTCACACCATCCTTCTTATCTGACTGATGCTTTGGTAACCACATTACTTTTCTTCCAATGCAATCTTATTCTGCTCTTTCAATGAACAAATACCAAACTGAAGGAACCCTCAAGGCCAAAAACTCTTCCTTTTAAAGACAACATTTAAAGTTCCTTCTTTTTGTGTTTCCCAATCTTTGGTTGGTTTGGTGAAGTTGCACCCAGAAATTCCTCAAGTTGCTTCGATGAAAATATAAGATAACTTGTTACTTTTGAATGATACAGGACTTGAGACATGTATTTGATTTGTTTTCTTTGATAGCTTGTTGTTCCTTATTCTTTCGATTTTCAAAACCTTAACGACAAAAAAGAATAGTAATAACTAACCGATCCCTCGTATGTATGTAGCATCAAATTTTGGATTTATTTAACTATTTTAGGCTTCTTATTTCTTGATGTAACAACCACACGTATTGTTCTATTCTATAATCTTGTTTATCCACATGAAAGATTAAGCAAAATTTGCGGATATCTTTGACTTCGTCCTTTTCTGAAATGAAATCTACTAAATGATATATGAAAAGTGATAATTTTTTTAAACATCTCACTTTTATTAATATAATAATTATAAAATAATTTAATAAAAATAAATTAAAATTATTATTATAATAATAAAAAAGGATTGTTTATAAGGATGGTATGTATTTTGTATGTCAAAATATCATTTTTAAAATGATATATAGTCAATGTTATTCTAATGCCATTCAACACCAAACTGATAAAATGGTTACAAGAACGTAATTTGACATCAAAATTTCATCACAAATATTTTCACAATAATGAATGATGTTTCACTGTGGTAGACTTAGTTTATTTAAATCAGTAAAAAATACGCATTAATAAAATTATTTAATTTAGATCCACTCCGTTTATAAATTTTTATTTGTTATTTTTTTCCTCAAACTCTTTTTTTTTTTATAAAGAAAAGTATAAGTGTACTTAGCTTAATGTTCTTACTCCATCTCTATTTATTTTATTTCAAACTTCCATAATTTTTAGTTTTTATATTTGTATTTTGATCCTTGTCCCTGTATACGCTGACATGAGATGCCATTCTATTGAAAAATAGGTCTGATATTTCTTAAAAAGGGATCTAGTTAAAAAAATTGTACTTCTATAAAAACTGAAACAATAACATCAATGAATATGAAATATTCTCTAATAGGAACCCAAACATGAAAAAAAGATTAAAGATTAAAAAATGAAAATGGAATCAATCCTATAGGGATAGAATTTAAAATAAGACAAGTGGCTAAATTAAATTGATAATTTAACATAGGGTTGATTAACCTCATTTTTCCTTGAAGTAGATGAGACAAATGGACATAACCATTTATGAATGAATAACTGTATAAAAGTCATCTACACTTTGAACACATTCTAATTAACTTGATCAAATATACAAGTAGTAACCAAGCACACAGGAGTCTTGCATAATGACTCGCACTAAAAAAATGTCAGAAATATATGAAATACCAAGTCAATTTACCTACAAACATTTTCCCTTCCAGAAACTCCATACATTTGTTTTTTCACCAATTGGGTATGTATAAAGTCGTATCAAAATCATCATACCTACACATTGCAGGTAAAAGCTGTACATTCTTTAAACGGTATGTGCCTACAAAACTCACCCGATTTAAATCACTCTTAATATCAAATGGCAGTTTCTAGCAACATACTGATAAGAAAGAAATATATATATATATATATATATATATATATATATATATATATATATATATATATATATATATATATATATATATATGTAGTGTTCAAGTTTCTTCGGTATGACAACTTTATTTCCATCACCACAATAATAACTAGTTGATATAATTGGTTCCAAAACGTGTTTCTATTCTATCAACTTTAGTCCTAGTTGGCTTTTTCTAGACAACTTGGGTGTAGGTCATAGTCACATACATCACAAGAGAACGTCCAGAACTTCCCTTGCTTTCTACAGGAATCACATACATATGCTTTGGCCATATCCAATTTCAGCACATGTTCATGCTTGACATCCTCAACCTGCTGAGGCAAAGCCTCTCCTTCCTTTCTGAGAGCTGCTTCTAGGTCTCTTATCCGTGATTCGGTAAATGGGAAAGCTTCTGCACCATATGAGGAGATCATGAACTTGCCATTCACACTAACGACTTTGCCATCTGGTCCAATGAGAACCAAAGCAGGAATTCCCTTTATATTAAAGATTCTTCTAAGGTCATGCCTTGTTCTGTCCTCATATGGAACAGCAAGCCATGGCATACTACTTCTGTTAACATTGAATTCATCAAGGTCCCTATCTGTTGATATTAGAACAATCTCAAAGCATTCCCCTTTTGCAGCCTTGAGATTGTTGTATGCATCTGTAAGTTGGACAGTGAAGGCACAGCAAGGAGGAGACCAATAAGCACAAAAATACAGGCCTATGGTCTTACCAGCTACTTCAGAAATGGGCACCTGCAACAAAAAGACTTGTGAATGTCATACGTGTGTAGCTACTTCACAAGTCCTTTATACAAGCTTTTCATTAAACATTTATAAGAGAAGAATATAAGAAGGGAATATGAAATACTTTTATCCCACAAGTTAAAATTAACTTAATTGAGGGAGAAATTTATTTCAATTTTCCTTCTTATTTTCTTCCCCTGGTCTATGGCAAAACTTATCTAAATACGACAGTAGTGAACAAATATAAGCAAGCATTGGACTACCTTTCTATCATCTCCAGAGATGAGAAAGTTGCGTCCTACATGTCCCAGTAGTTCTTCGAAGCTTGCTTCCTCACTCTTCCTTTTGTCCATGGCTTTCAATTCCTCGTGTCTCTTCCTTGTGAAAGGAAATGCATCGGCACCGTAATCCTCAATGCACCCAATCAAGTCCTCTTCGATAGTTATGGCATCTGAACATAATGGAATGAATGATGGGATTCGATCAACTCTGTATCTGTCAATCAGTCTTCTGTGCAAATTTACGTCAAATGGGACAGCTAGCCATGGCATGCTCTTGAAGTGTTCTTTAAATCCATCCCCATCACGGTCAAAGGAGATGAAGATTATCTCTAAACTTATTCCCCTCTTTCTCAGTGTTTCATACAGTTCAAGAAGATGGGGAGTGAAAGCTCTGCAAGGCCTGCACCAGTTTGCACTGAAAAATAGGCAGATGACTTTCCCATTGCATTCTGACGCAGGTACCTAATCTCATGATTTAAAGATGGTAAGCATTAGCTACTACCCGAGATCACAAACTAAGCAATTTGTTTCTTAAGATCGGCTTTTACTTTTTAGTTAATTGAAGAAAAAATAGAACTTTCCGAGGATGGTTTAGAAGTTAAACTACTTAGATCATAAGTTGATCTCAAGTTGAATTTATTAACTAGCCTATTGTCTAATCAAAACACATAGAAATTATAGAAAGAGGGGTTCTGCAGAAACTAGACTACCTTCCCTTCAGAAGATAAAAGGAACTCAACACCTTCAGCTTCAAATATCTTCAGAATATCATGGTTGTCAGTATATGTGACTTCAAAATTTAACCCTGCCATAGGAGCTCGATATAACAGTTGTCGTCTCTTTTGTGTAGCTTTCTTGAGATCTATTTGATCAAGAGAAAAATATGAGTTTTGAAACTATTGTCCAACATGGATTATAACACTGTATCAATAGGACCTTGAACTTTAGCTCTTATAGTAGGTCTATATTTCTGGATATTTCAAAGCCTAATAGAACTGGAGACGAAAGAAGTTCAGATTCTGTTCAAGAGCATCATTTGATTAAATTAGACAATTAGTTCTGAAACCGTCCTTCAATTGAGATAGGAAGGAAGCAGAGTGGAAAAAACCTTATATCATAGCTGTCTGAAGAAAACTTGGAGAGTGGGATGCGAGCAAGACTGAACAAAGTACAGGAATTGATAACCATGCATGAAAGCGAATAGGGGGAGAATATTCCCAAGGAAAGTGCTTGAGTCTTCAAAAACAAACAAATCGTTGCGTACACGCCTTCCTAATGGAACCGCACCGTACTCTCTCTCTAAACCCCATGCATATGGTTTTGATGATCATCATAGACAGGATAGGATAGGAAGAGTAACATCCCCTCCCATCTTCCAAACCAGAATTTAAATACATATGTGTAGAACTTTAGGTAGGTCCAACTGGAACTGGATAGTTAACTTTAAAACTATGTGGATCAAAAGCGGTGTGTGATTACTGAGAAGCATGTTTCAACTCATAATTTGTAATCTTTGCATTCAATTCAAGTAGATTTCAGTGAACCCAAAAGAAGGAGACGGATATTAAAATCACCTTATTAATTTTTGCGGTAGGAGGTATGATGAATTGATTAGAAGAATAAACCTCATACACCTAAGGATCACTTTTAAGTGGGGAAATAATCAAATTTCTGCAAAAGCAATCAAAAAAAAAAAAAAATAAACGGATGATGAGTGTCCGTTATGTTGCACATAAACAAGTTTTGAAGTATATGAATTACCTTGCAGTTGCAGCTGAAGAAAAGCAGAGGATAGGGAGAAGGTGGAGGAGGTTGATTCTCCAAGACAAAAGGAGATGATGCAGAGCGTTGGGGCAGTGAAGGGCTTTAAATATGTTACATTTACGTGATCAAGACTCAAATGTATTCCATTAAAAAAAAAAAGGTTTTTTTGTTTAATTTAAATTATTTTTGTTTAATTTAAAACACAATAATTTTACTATTATAGAGTAAATATTCTTAATTAAATTTAACGATTTAATAAATATAAATAAGGGTTTAACTATATAAATATTACTACTGTTGTTTTAAATTTGTAAAATCATTATTTGAAGCAACACTAATTTTTATATACCATTCAACACTATCCTTACAACCAGAAAATAATGATAATTTTCGCAAAACTGCCATCAGCAAGCAGAACGAAATATAAGGATTTTGTAGTTACAAGATTTCCTTTCCTTTATTTTCATTTTTGTATTTATTTCATTATTTGGCTTCTATTATATTATGTCGTTTTTTTCTTGAAAACAAGATGTGTTATAGATTGGGGATATGCTCTACTTATGAATCGGATATGCTCTAGTTTTAGTTAGCTATACGTGTATTGAAAAAATAAAATAAAACTAATTTTTAATTATGCTTTATTTATTTCTCCCTCGATCAAGTTTTACTTTTAATAAAATCAAGTCTTAATTAGATTTCACTTACTTGAGTCATATTAATATAAAACGAAGCCTTAACATGAAAAACAGAATTGTATTCTTGTGTAAACAAGATAAATATTTCTTCCATTTTGTTTTCGGTGTTAGGTCCAACACGCGGAATGGAAGAGAGAATGGTTACTAATTATTAGCCGTATTTGCCGTATCTTTTTTATTTTTATTTTTATTTTTTTTAATAAAAAATTTGTCAGTTATTGTGTCTTGATCTCAAAAGAGCTTCTTTTTTTGGTTATATAAAAAGTACTTTAAAATGTTTTAAAAGCAGATTGATATATAAAAACAAAAAACAAAAATAAAGACTATAGATAATGTATCGCTTGAAATACCCTTAAGATTTACAACTTTCAATGAGAGCCCTATTGGAAAAAAATTCCTGTAATATCTTTCTATCAGTAAAGTTATTGTAATATGTTTCATTTAAGAAGAATTTAAATAATACATACGAAATTATTAAAAGTTTAATTAAATCATGACATAATACATTATTTATAACTACTTAACTTGTTGTCACAAACTCTGCATGCATCACATCAACACATGATAATATATATATATATATATATATATATATATATATATATATATATATATATATATATATATATATGTCAAAATTAATATAATAAAATATAAGAGCACCTTAACTCACCATAAAATTGTAAACTATTCCGTATTTAAAATAGTATTACCAGATTTAAACCTTGAATTACTTTATTCTATACTTTGATTAAGGAATACAATGGTCAATCAATCTTTCTAAGTTTTAAAATATTTGCTTATTATTTAATGTTTTTATAAATATAAAAAATATATATTCAGAGGTATATTATATAAAATTATAATGTCATGAAAGAAAATAGATCCTCTCTCACCTAGAGAAAAATGTTAAAATCACACCTTTATTTTACCGATTCTATTGATAAATTAATAAATAAATAAAACTAACATTTCATGCCATGAAAAGGTTACTTAATAAATCCACTGCCAAGTTAAAAAGTACCATTCTTTAGAGGAAAGTAATGTGTTGAGAACCAAAACTTTTTAAAACAATCTTAAAAATATTTTTTATGTTGATGGACGAAATGAAAATGAAATATAATAAATAAATAATAATATAAAAATTTAAAAGTAATTGTTGATAAATGTTTCATAAAAATAAATTATCTATATATTATTGTTTTTCTATAAATATCTAAAAGATAATTATATATTGACATTTATTCATCAATAAACATTCATTCTACAACTTATTTTATTAATATTATAATCATAAAAATTTTAATTTAAAAATTAATTAAAATTATTATTTTATTAATAAATAAAATTGTAGTTAAATTTTTTTGAAAAGATCAAGTTATCAATTAATATTTTCTTATCTAAAATAAAGTAGCATTCTTTTTAAATAAATGCCTGAAACATGAGATGGATGAGATGAGATAAGGATTTAAAAAATGAGGTATTAAATTAGTTTAATGATTCTCTCCTAAGGTTTTAATAGAAGAGAAAAGGACTTGTGTGAGATTTATTAGAATCCTCCAAAAGTATTTTAAATAAGATTGAATTACCGAACTGATTTTAAAAAAGGTTGAAAAATTTAACTACTCGATCTAACGAACTAATAAAAAATAATATAAGTTTCAATTCTAAAGCTTATATCAAGTGAACTTTTACCTATTCAGTTTAAATAATATATTTTAACCTAGTCTAATCCATTCTACAAAGGAATCGAACTAGTAAATCCAGTTTTTACCAACTCTAATCCTAACTCGTTAAATTTGGTGAATTCAAATTGAAATTAATAAATAACAGAATTTGTAAAAAAAAAAAAAAACAGCACTTTTCGGACGGCACAAATTAGGATCTGACTCAATGCTTATCCACTACATGCAGGCTAGAAAATGATAAACGCTGACAATGGCCCGTTTCCACCATTTGAAAGGGAATGGAATAATTTAGCTTTTCTTTCGGGAAGCCCTGCTAAACATCTCTCTAATGTTGTGCGATTCGGTCTCCAATTTTACCTTCTTCGCTTGTCTCCCTTTCTTTGCAGTTGTAGCCTTCTTATCTTCACTCTGTTGTTCCTGATAATTAGTTGTATACAAATTAATTCAAAAAACGAATAACATCCAAATACACGGTGTTCTCCCGTCCCAGCAAATACCTGAAATTCATTACGTGAACCTGGGTTACTTCCTTCAGCATTTACTTGTGTTTTTCCAGTAACGTCGAGTATATTTAACCTGCAAAACAAAATTCTCCTTAAGGAATCATCTTAAAGAATCCCATTCCAAACCTCCCATGGTTTCTCTCGTAAGTTATCACCACAAGGAATCAAAAAAATCCTTAAAATAAGAAATTATGAAAATCTATACTTAAGATGGTTACACAAAAGCTGCAACCAAGGCTTTTCCTTCAAATACTCTCCCAATATAGAGACTGCATCAATCACTGCATCAGTAACGTAAGTTTGTTAATGCACAACAAACAGTGAAATAAAAAGACCAGATGTGCATATTTGAAGTATTAAGTAAAACATCCACATCATTATTTACTATCAAGGGATATAAGGGGTAGGAGAGTATTATCAAGGTTACTATCAAGGATGATACACGGCTACACATGAAGCATCAACATAGAACAATCCAGAGTGAGAGAACTGTAAAGAGGGAATCCCCCAAAGGGAAAAAACGGTAACCATTAGTATGTTTTCACATAGTAAGAAAGAATATAGATAGCCTATTAACAAAAAGGATAAATTCAGCTATCCTATTTCTATCTCCCAGGTTTAGTAAACAAAAGATGCAATTTTTCGTTTCAATACATTAAATAGTAATGGTATATTTTCCTCAAATATTTTAGCCTATATTTACATAAAATAGAAATGTTAGTTCCACAAGTTGCTATTATATCCCTCATCACTGTCGTCCATGTATACACGGACACAATACAGTCAAAGGCATGATAAATCTCAGAGCAGATGCACGAGCACACACGGCCACATTAAAATGTCTCCCTTTTCCATATAGAAAGTATTTATATTTTTAGTACAAAAGATAAACACTTTTGCAAAGTATTTAACCTCAGCTGATAAAATTCTCCAAAAGGCAACAGAACACAGAATGATAATAAACACTTTACATGTGTCTTTCTCTGATTGAACAGCATAGTTTTTGTCCAATTGGGGTAGCGTCTGTTTTAGCTGACAAACCTAAAATAAGACCAACCAAATTAACAAGCTTCGATACAGGTAAAAGGTTTTCTAGCAGTTAAATCAAAGATGGTCAAACAGCTGCCAGAGACAAATAGAAGTTTGAAAGCAAACTATAAACCAATTCAACCATTTCCCGATTTGCTTTACAGATGGATACGTGTATTAGCAGTTAAATGTGAAGATAGGCCTGGACTCTAACCATGCAAAGTTAATACAAATGAAAAAAAAAGAGAGACTGACAAACCAGAATATGCATGTTTCTCCTTCTGATTAATATTGTGTCTCTATGAGAACAGAGCATACACTCACATACCTTCTCACCAGCACTCTTACACACGGCGCGGTCACTCACAATACCAAACAAGGAGATTGTGGAGGATTTACAAAAAAAGAGAGAACTTCCTTTTTTTCCTTCACAAAGACCAAACAAATTCTGGTTTACAACAGACTAACCAAAATTATTAAATTAGCTGAATTTTTAAATTCTGTTTACAATTATTACAGAGAACTGTTTTAGTTTTGGTTACATTTTGGCAAAAAATATCATGAAGTTCAGGCATCCATAGCTAATCATCATACCTCCATAATAGTTAATGGAGGTGGAATTTGCAGCGCAAATATCATATCACGCGTATACTAGTATATTTGCCCTGATGGAGGGGAAGATTAAACATCGTATAAACCAAATGACAGTTAAGGAAATATAGACAAACCTTATAACTCAGCCAACGTAGAACCTTTGAGTCATCAAGTCTGAAGAATTTTGAGGATCCAACTTCTGTGTATGCATGGCATTAGAAGTCCATGAGAATTAAAAACTAAGAAAACGATTAGCAATGTGGTCATCATACTTTTCAGTCGTCACCATTATAAAAAACATAAAGCCAACAACAAACTTCACAATTTATTTCCACAATAGCTGCCCAATAAATGGCTTAAATATTAAATAAACATGGCAAACTTTCAAACTCAAGTTATAAATAAAAATGTACAAGAATATAGTCACCTTTGACTTCAGAAACTACTTGCATGCAGTTCTCCACAACAGACATTAACTGCATATATCCTGGATACCCATCAATAAATAATATCTCGTCCAATTGCCTGAACCTCCCAAGATCATCCCCTTTCTGCTTGCATTTCAAAGAAACCAGTTCAGAGATAAACTTTTTGGGGAGGAAATACAATGTAGACCTAATTAATCCATTCACAAACCTAAAAGATAGAAGTTCTACGGACCTCACAAACGGGGATATCTTGGATTTAGTGTGTAGAGGTTTCTTTGAGGATATTAACCCATAGTTAATTGTCTGTGTGGGTTCTATACATAAGGTGTCATGTGAGCAATTAAAACTTTTGTTATTTTCATCAGCAATAGTTGCCCAAGGATTCATAAATGCAAAAGATCTCGGAAATAATAAATGTCTTCCAAATCCCATGGTTCAAAAGAAGCATAAAACTTATTACCTTCATTCTAGCTTCCTCAAAAATAGGCAACATGATGAAAACAGGATCAATTGGTGTGGATAAATACAACCGACCATCTGTACGGGAACAAAAACAATAACAATGAAAATTTCTGCTTAAAGTGTTGCTTAGTTTCTCTGCGAGTGAAAGACCTAGAGAGTAGAGACTACTGATATTACAAGAGGAAACACAATGCTTTCAACCGACAAAGATTAAGAGATTTTGGCATAGGCAGAGCAGGAAGAAAAATATTATTTTTTAGTATAAGTGAAGGATTAGATTAGAAAAGTGAGCAACCAGAGAAAGTAATGTACCTAATGCAATATAAACATAAATAACAATGCAAAATGCTTACTTTACATGTAAGATAATCAAACATCCCTACCTTCAGTTATATAATCTCCCAAAAACCAAGATCCATACAAGTTCTTAAACCACTGGAGTTCTTGAAGCATTCCATTCACAAACAGATATTGTGTTGCATTTCCTATCAAACAAGCGAAAAACATGTAAAAACAGAGAGAGCGCACGTTCCAGAAGCCTTTAAAAAGTTTTATTCCTTCAGAAATATTTGTAGAAAAACTGTGAGTGATATGATTAACAGAACTAGCAAATTTTAATCAACACTCAAGAAATTGAGATAGACAAATCACATTATATAAATAAGTAACAAAACACTATGAGCAGTAAATAAAATAATGGATATTCTTCAAATTACCAGATTTGGGATGGCGGAGCAATATCATCTGTCCCATACCATTTGCATCGGTACCAGGCTCTGCACTTGCATAACCTGATTGTAAAGCAGCGCAAAAAAATATTCAAAAAATAAAATATCCAAACGTCATATAAAAAATCAGGATATGGTCACAGAATAAGAATATAAATCGAAATAAATAACCAGCAGCTATATATTACCAATGTCATTTGAAACCAAAAAAATTAGCAGCATACGTCTATTAAACTTAATTTAGAATTGCTTTTCTTTTCACATATTTTCGCTTAAAAGTGACTATAATTTTACAGGTGGAAATAAACAAGAATAGATAATAACAAAAAGGAATGATGAGATGTAAATTTACCAGGTGCAACGAGAACCCGTGGTTCCTGAACGCCATCACACCAACTCATAGGTTTAGCAGAAGAGGATTCAAAAGCCCTAACACCACCAGTCACCGATCGCTCCCTTCGCCGGTAACTGTAACTGTAACTGTAACGGAATGCTGTTAATCTCACACGTGAATTGCAATGTAGAAAGAACAACAACGCAGTGAAGACTAAATATTAGGGCACTTACATCTTAGAGCAAAGGGAGTTTACAGGGAAGGTGACGACCGAGGAGTTAGAGTGGCGCTGAATCGCGAAATGAAGCGTGCGCGGGAATTGGAGAGTCATACATACTCGCGCCATTAAAATCACCCTTTTAGCTTCTTTCCTTCTCAGACACGGGCGCTCTCTATACCAATCGGACCAAGCCCAATGGGCTTAGGGTTGCTTCAACGGAGTCCAACTTTTTATCACTAAAGTAAGGCAAGGTCTTTTCTTTTTTATCCTCGCTTCTTCTATGTACAATTTTTGCACTTTCATTCTTGGTTATTTGAATTTTTCTTATTATTACCATGTATTTTCTAACAATTGAAGATAAGCAATACTTATGAATTACATTTTCCTACATTTAAATTACATAAACAGACCAAATTATTAAATTTAAGATAGTATCACGAAAATAAGATTGAATTTTGAAAATACATTTTGTTACCGTTTGTTAGTTAGTTTATTAGGTTAGTTAGCTAGTTATTTTATATATATATATATATATATATATATATATATATATAATATGTTGGTATATTATTCATGAGTTCAATAATATGAAGTATTTTTTCTGCATAAGAATGCTGGTGCACTTTTTACTCTCTTTTCTCTACCATGAGTTTTAACATGGTATCAGAACTCCTTTCTTAGGGAGCTCCGCTGCGTATTAAACTCTGTTTACAAGCTTGGTAAGATGATTGGTTTCTTGAAGATTGGTTTCTTGAAGATTGGTTCTGAATCTTGAAGGTATTCTGTATTGTTCTTATTTCAAGGCATACAAAGATCTGCAATCTTGTTGCTTATTGTTTTTTTTTTTTCTTTTTTGTTAAATGGCAAGTCTTGTATTGGATCAATTGAATCCTTATTATTTGCCTAATAATGAAAATCCTGGTGTTTCTATTGTTCCTGTCATTCTGAAAGGAGATAACTATCATGCTTGGTCTATAGCTATGACAATGGCTTTAAGATCAAAGAATAAGTTGGAATTTGTTGATGGATCCTTACTTAAACCAGAAAATGGTGATACTATGCTTCCTGCTTGGAACAAGTGTAATAACATGGTGTTGTCTTGGATCATGCATTCTTTGGATCTAGAAATTATTCAAAGTGTTCTTTGGATGGATACAGCAATGGAATTATGGAATGATTTGCGTGATAGGTATTATCAAGGTGATGTGTTCAGAATATCAGAATTACAAGAAGAAATTTATGCATTAAAACAAGGTGAGTTATTTGTCACTGCATATTTTACTTTATTGAAGGGATTATGGCAAGAATTAAAAAATTTCAAACCCATACCAAAATGCACATGTCAAGTCAGATGTGAATGTCAGCTTATACCCATTATAAGAGCCTATAGAGAAGGAGATTATGTTATTAGATTCTTGAAAGACCTTAATGAACAGTACTCGACTGTTAGATCACAAATTATGCTCATGGATCCCTTACCAACAATGAACAAAGTTTTTTCATTGTTAGTTCAACAAGAAAGACAACTCAATATTACTAATGGTAATCAACATATTTTGGCCACTTACAAAGGAGGAACTGGAAGAGGAAATTCCAGAGAACGGAATTTCAAAGAGAATAATTCACAATTTGTTGGTAGAGGTCAAGGTTGGGGCCAAAGTGGAGGTCAAGGTGGAAAGAATCTAAGATATGTTCTTTTTGTCGGAAAATTGGCCACACTATTGATACCTGTTATAAAAAACATGGTTATCCCCCACATCTCATGAAGAATTTTGTTGTTAACAATTGTATGGCTAATTATGATATTGATAAAGATGATAAACAAAGCATGATATTTCAGAGGGAGATTGGAGAGAATTCAGATTTGAGTTTTACTCCAGACCAACACAAGGCCTTGTTAGCACTCCTTCAACAGTCTGAAATCCAGAACAATCACACAGTTAATCAGCTTATCTCCGTTACACAAAATTTTGATTCAAAACCATTAGGTATAATTTGTAACTTGTTCAATTCCAACTCCTGGATCATTGATGCAAGAGCTACTGATCATGTGTGTAATTCCCTTACTAACTTTCAAACACACAGAAAAATCAAACCCATTCATATAAAATTACCTGATGGGAGTCAAGTTACTACCACTATGTCTGGAACGGTTTTTTTTTTCTAAATATTTGTACCGGACAGATGTTCTTTTCATTCCTACTTTCAAATTCAATCTTATTTCTGTGTCAAAGTTAACTAAGACCCTTTCATGCAAATTTATTTTTTCTGATTCTGTTTGTAAGATTCAGGACAATAATTCTTTGAAGATGATTGGTGCAGCTAACCTACAGAATGACCTATACGCAATGAGTTCTTCAAATCAGCCAGAATTTTTTGACAAGTGCGTAAACAATTTTTACAGTTACAATAATGATGTGTGGCACTTAAGATTAGGCCATCTCTCTCATGAGAAACTCAAACACATACAGACTATGTACCCTTTTATAAAATGCAATAAAATCAAAGTTCCTTGTGAAGTTTGTCATCTAGCTAAACAAAAACGTCTTCCTTTTGCTAATAGTTCTAATGCCTGTACTGAGATTTTTTATTTGCTACATATAGACATATGGGGACCTTGATCTGTTCCTTCAATTTTTGGTCATAGATATTTTTTAACCATAGTAGAAAATACTACTAGATATACTTGGATTTATCTCATGAAACAGAAAAGTGAAACCCCATCTTTGCTCAAATTGAAACACAGTTTAACAAGAAAGTCAAAATAATTAGAACAGATAATGGTAAGGAGTTTAATATGTATGAATGGTTTAAACATAAAGGTATTTTACATCAAAACTCTTGTGTTGAAACTCCTCAGCAAAATGGTATAGTAGAGAGAAAACATCAACACATTTTAGGAACTGCCAGAGCTCTTATGTTTCAATCTGGAATTCCTAAATCTTTTTGGAATCATGTTGTTAATCATGCTGTTTTTCTTATCAATAGGATGCCTACTAAGTTCTTACAAAACAAATCTCCTTATCAAGTCTTATATGATGACAAACTACCTGAGATTTCTGAATTAAAAGTTTTTGGATGTTTGTGTTTTTCTTCAACTATTCAATCTCACAGAACGAAACTTGATCAAAGAGCTAGGAAATGTATTTTTCTAGGATATAAAACTGGCACAAAAGGTAATGTCCTTTATGATTTGAAAAATAGAGAAACTTTCATTTCTAGGGACGTTTTGTTTTATGAAGAAATTTTTCCCATGATAATCAACTGCAATAAAAGATCTGATGCAAATGTTTGTGTTCCCCTTGTTCAACAAAATTTTTCCGTTGATGATTCTTTTTCTTTTGAAAACCAAACACTTGATATTTCATATAATAACAATAATAATAATAATAATAATAATCAATTGTTTGATAATCATCAATATGATATAGAACACCAACCACAACAAACTGAAAATGCTGAAAATAATATTGTGAGGCAATCTCAAAGAGTGAGACGACCACCTTCTTATTTGAAGGACTATCATTGCACATTGGCTACAACAGATGGCTCATCATATCATCCCACTGTCAGGTATCCTATTTCTTCTTCTATTTCCTATAATTCATTATCCTCTTCCCACAAACATTATTCCCTTGTTATTTCTTCTATGCCTGAGCCAAAAACTTATAAGGAGGCTGTTCAACACGATTATTGGAAGGATGCTATCAATGCTGAGTTACGGGCTTTGGATAAGAATCAAACTTGGGTTTTAACCTCTCTTCCTCCTGGAAAAAAGCTTATCAAATGCAAATGGGTTTTCAAAAATTAAGCATAATGCAGATGGGTCAATTGAGAGGCATAAAGCCAGGCTTGTAGCAAAAGGTTTCACACAAATTGAAGGGGTTGATTTTCTGGAGACTTTCAGCCCTGTGGTGAAAATAACCACCATCAGAATACTACTTTCAATTGCCTCTGCTTCTAATTGGCATTTACATCAACTGGATGTAAATACTGTCTTCTTGCATGGGACACTTGATGAAAAAGTTTATATGGAACCTCCACCAGGACTTACACTGCAGAACACGAATCTTGTTTGCAAGCTTACCAAGTCTATCTACGGTCTTAGACAAGCAAGCAGACAATGGAATGTTAAACTTACTGAGGTTCTTCTTTCTTTAAACTACTCTCAATCCAAAGCTGATTACTCATTGTTCACAAAAAGATCATCTAAAGGCTTCACAGCCATTCTCACTTATGTTGATGATTTGGTTCTAGCTGGTGAGGATTTAGATGAGATTAATAATGCCAAGCAAGTTCTTCACAGAGAGTTTGGTATTAAGGATCTTGGTCAGCTCAAATTTTTCTTAGGATTTGAAGTTGTAAGGTCTGCCAAAGGTATTTGCCTTTATCAAAGAAAGTATGCTTTGGATTTACTTTAGGACACTGGCCTTCTAGCTTCCAAACCCTCTCCTACTCCCATGGATCACACTAACCATCTTCACAAAAATTCTGGTCCCGCTTTTGAAGATGTTACTAAATACAGAAGATTGCTTGGTAGATTAATCTATTTAACCAATACTAGACCTGACATATCCTATGCGATTGGTAGATTAAGTCAATTTCTTGATTGTCCCACTACTACTCATTATCAAGCTGCTCTTCGGGTGTTGAAGTACATCAAGAATGCTCCTGGAAAAGGATTATTGTTTCCTTCTATTTTAGATCTTAAACTCACTCGGTTTTACCTGATTCTGATTGGGGTACTTGTTTGGATTCTAGAAGATCCACTACTGGTTTTTGTTTCTTTCTAGGACGAGTCACTCATCTCTTGGAAAAGCAAGAAACGATCTGTGGTTTCCAGATCTTCTTCGAAGCTCGAATACGAGTCATGGCTTTAGCCACTTGTGAGGCTCAATGGCTTGTTTATCTTCTCGCAGGATTTTGGACTATCTTCCCCTTCTCCTGTTGTACTATTCTCGTGATAATCAATCGGCAAGATATATCGCTATCAATCCCGTCTTCCACGAGCGTACCAAACATATAGACATTGATTGTCACACTGTACGAGAAAAAGTCCAATCTGGTTTTCTTCATCTCATGCCAATTGCCTCAAAGGACCAAATTATTCTAACTAAACCTCTAGC